GACCTTGTCATCCCTGGTCCCTGCTGTTTCTTCATTCCCACCTGGTACTTATCAAGGTAGCACTAAAACACCTGAGGTCTAGTCAGCTGCTCACACCAGAGATCTGAGGGGGACCTGCTGAGGCTTTGGCCAGATGACACCAAAAGGGGGCTCCACTCCTCACCGGACAGGCCCAAGAGCTGAGGACAGGGACACAGTCACTGTGCAAGAGCCTCCTGGACCAGCTCTGCCCAGCAAGCCCAGCACTATATCGGGGGGTGGGAGGGTCGGGCTGGGGGCCATTCGAAACCTAAGGGGACTTACTGAAGATCAACAGTCAGAGCACGACGAGTCAATTAAATCCTGTACTGTTTCAATCCTGCCCCCGAGAGCAGCCCACAAGCAGCAGCCATTAGCACTGACTGTGACCTGAGAGAACCTGTTTTCTGCAAACGCACAAGCTGAACACACCCCACTGCCTCCTTTTGGATATTAATGTGGCCGAAATGTCTTGTCCTGCCTGGATTAACCTCCCCTCGTCCTGCCCTGTCTGGACTGGAGTTTCTGCCGCTGAGGCAGAAAGGTGAGCAGTACACATCACAAGCAGGTCGCATGATGAAGCAAAGTGAACCCATGCCAAGAGAGAGCAGGGTTCCCCGGTGTCCCGCTGCATCAGCATACCGCGTTCATCATGAATGCACTCATGTCACCAGGGGGGATCCGATTCACCAGCTCTGCTCCTTCCAGCAGCGCAGAATCCGACCTAGTCCAGCACTGGGATTTGACTAGACATATGTACCAGTCCTGGGAAGAAGAAAAAAGGTGGATAATGAGATGCAACCGGGCAGGGCCTTCAACTCTGCTGGGTGTGCTGTTTCTTGACCCACTACCCCTCACGTCCTGAGGCCACAGACCAAAGTCCCCTGGACAATGATGCAGCTTCAGTAAACCTGTGGCCTAGCTGACCATGCGACTTCTCAGCAGACCATGAGAACTGCCCTGCAGGCTGCGGCTCTGGACTTGCTGTCACTGCCTGGGCCCTCCCCAGCCCCCTCCCGGCCTTCAAAGTCAGCTCAGGTACTGGGGCAGCAGACCTGCTCTCTGTGCCCTCACTCTGCCCACCTGTTTGGCACAGCATCTAGCATCTTTTTTGGGGTGTCTGCTTTGCTCTCTCCCCAAGGTCAGTGTAGCAGAAGCTCTGAACAAATGGACTGTGAATAGCAGCCTGGACACTGCCATTCTGTGCCTGGGATGTTGGTTTTTAGAATTCAAGTTCATATTTAAATTAAACTCTGTCTAGGGAAGTAGAGTGCCAAGGCTCTTCCAAGGCCCCAAATGGGCCCCAGCTCTGATGTGTGAATGGTGAGGGGGAAGATAAGGTACCAGGGTCCTTGGGGTGGTGGGATGATATGCGGGAGGTCACCAGGCATAAAGACATAAAGGGAGACAGGCCAGCGGCTGTGCTGGAGGCCTGTGTGGTCATGAGCACAGGCCACAGCCAACCACCTCCCATCCCCGTTAGCTGCCCTGACCCCCTGAGTGAGTCAGCATTTCCCTTCTCGGCCACACCCCTGCTGATGACTTGGGCTAGACCTCACGCATCCTGGCATGATGTGACCCTGCCATCACGAGCAAGGAATAGGGCAGACTGAGGGCCCTCTGCAGCCACCCTCTGCTGCCTGAGTCAACCCACCACACACTGGAGCTCTGCTGCAGGGCGACAGAGGCACACAGTGGGCCTGTGTGTCACTGCAAACATGATGGACACTTACTTTGTCTGGACTCACTGTCTCTAGTGCCAAGGGCCCATCCCCATCCAGTGGGTGGGACGTGACCGGAGGAGAGGGGCCGCGTGACCCTGGTGCAGTGGTGAGACGAAGCCTGTCCAGCAGGGAGTAGAGCCTCTGGTGCCTGGAATCCAACCACATGGGGGGTCAGAGCAGTTTCCCAGGGAAGAAGTTAACTGGCTTCTTAAAGTGAGATGAAGCATGTTTCAAAGTTCCTCCTCAGAGCTCTTTCTCACCAACACTCAAGTCATGATGCAAATTCAGGGTCTAGTTTATTCTATTCTAGCCGTTTATGCCCTATAACTATTCAGAAGTTTCACTTATACTCAGACACTGAAATAGGCAATCCCTGGCATAAAAGCTAATAAAAGCATTCTTTATAAACTCAAAATAGATGATCTATTCTAAAATCCAAGTGCACAAAATTGTTTTCATCTCCCAACAAGAAAAAATGTATACCAATTCACGTTCATTTCATAAAAGAATCACCTCACCTGGCACAAAATATTTATAATCTTCCTCATCTGGGCTGAATGTTAAGTATCAGGTCAAAGAATAGTAACAGGTTGGCGTTGAACCACCTGCTGTGTGGCTGACAGCTATGAGCATAACACAGCCCAGCATACTGAGGGTCCCCCAAAACCAAGTGCTACCCACCATATTATGCCTTATACAGGTAAAGATACCAGCAGGCCCCTCTTGGGACTGAACTCACAGCATAACAATTACATTCTCTCTCAGTGACAACATGTGGAGAGGGAGAGAGGTAAATGCTTCTTAGTTCACTCTGCACTCATGGAAATATTTTCCTGTAGTAGATGTCATGATTTCTGACAAAGGCTTCTAAAAGACTTTGCAAACAAATTAGGTGATAAAGAGCTATAAATTGAGATAATTTTTAACAAGATACAGACACAATTTTTGCATGCCAAGAACTGGGTAATGCCTTCAGATTTTCCAACTCTTATTTAGTAGTTGAATCATGTGCTTTGACTTTGCTGAGCTAAGGCTGACGGGGAACAAGGCAACAGAACGCCCACCACCTCTCAGGGCAGTGGCACAGGTGCATCGCCACTGGGGCGACAGGCATGTGCCAGGTGTGTGAAGTGAGAGTCCAGCTGTTTTTAATTCAGAAGGCTTTCCATTAAGGCTTTTCTGTAAAGCGAGCAATCGCTCAGCCGGCGGGCTCTTCCCCTATAAACTGAGGTCTTTCTATGCAAAGGCAGGGGGTGGGTGGGGAGGGGGGTCGCCTGGTCCCAGCATTACCTGTGAGCTAACCCGCTGCTCTGCAGGTACTCCTGGATTCTGTGCACTTCCTCAACCGGCAGCTGGGCCGTGCTGCTCTGAGGGAGACAAGAGCACATCAGTGGGCTTGCAACACGAAACGAATCCAGCACTTAGACGGGGTGAAGCGATGCACACGGCTTAGCGTGGCAAAGGCGGGTTGGAAGAAAAGCACACGGGCCCCTGCATCAGACACACCAAGGAAGGACTGGCTTATGAATATCTCTCCCGGGGGCCATATGAAGAATATGCCCATGGACGAAAAAGCCAGGTGCTCTGCTTGCCCCAGGAAGTTTCCAATAAAAACCAACAGCAGTGTTTTTTTCAATACCTGTAAATTTGCAGCCAAAAGCATTTCTACTCGGCGACAAGCAAGGGTGTCAACCATGCGAGCCAGTACACGGAGTGGAGTACACAAGAGCTTGTCCACATACAGCGTTAACACAGCGCCCGACTGGCTGAGATGGATCCCTTCCAAGCACTGAAGAGTTTTCTTCAGAGTGGTGGGCTAACGTGGGAAAGAAGAAAAGGGGCGAGAGCACTTTCCAGCTGGAAATCAGCAGTTTGAAACCCCTATACTCTGTTTTTAAGGCACAGAAAACTGGCAAAAGTTGGCACTCGGCAGACTTACAGCTGAAAGATTTTCACAACGGGACTGAATTGCCTGGATGAAAAGGCCACTGGCAGCAGAATTCCGATGAACGGCACTAATAAAATCCTGCACGGGAGGCTCATGGGACAGACTGATGAGATCTTGAATGTGGTTCACAATGAGCCATGTTAAGTGCTCTGAGTCGTGCAGGTTCTGACACTGAAGAGAAAGACAACAGGAGGCTCATTTTCAATAGACAAGGACAGAAAAGACACTGATGCTGTAAAAAAGGCCAGACAGTGTAGGAAACAGAAAGCAAATTCCAAATCATAATCCTCACTGAAAACATCTAGTGTTTGACCATTAATAATCGACTAGGTAGAAACTCACTTTACAAAGCCCATTACCTCCCCAGGTCCCACCAGGAAAATATTACCCAGCCATGCAACTCCAAGGGACACCAGCCAAAGGCCAGAGGTGGGAAGGAGCAGGCCCAGGTGGTGAGGCATCATGGGGCACCTGCCAAGGGCCCAGAGTGACCCAAAGGCAACAGGAGCAGTGTGAACCACGTGGCACTGCCCTCACAGGCCACTGGCTCAAGCCATGACGCACAAGAGCTCCAGCCCAAGGCCTGCCCTTTCCAGGCCTCAGCCTGGCATGCTGCGGGTGTTCTCCAGTTCCTTGACAAGGCAGTGGACAGAAGGATTCCCAGTAACGGTCAATATGAATGGATCCCACAAATCAAAAGGATCTTAAGGGAAGAAACTGCACTTAAGGATTATAATGAAATAAGAAATACCCATTTTTTTTTTGAGAGGGCATCTCTCATATTTATTGATCAAATGGTTGTTAACAACAATAAAATTCAGTATAGGGGGGTCAGTGCTCAATGTACAATCATTAATCCATCTCAAGCCTAATTCTCGTCAGTCTCCAATCTTCTGAAGCATAACGAACAAGTTCTTACATGGTGAACGAATTCTTACATAGTGAATAAATTCTTACATGGTGAACAGTACAAGGGCATTCATCACAGAAACTTTCGGTTTTGATCATGCAATATGACCTATAAACCATCAGGTCAAATATGAATATTCATTTGATTTTTGTACTTGATTTATATGTTGATCCCACATTTCTCCTATTATTATTATTATTTTTATTTTTAATAAAATGCTGAAGTGGTAGGTAGATGCAAGATAAAGGTAGAAAACATAGTTTAGTGCTGTAAGAAGGCAAATGTAGATGATCAGATGATCAGGTGTGTGCCTATGGACTAAGTATTAATCCAGGCTAGACAAGGGCAGCAAGACATCCACGGATGCAGAAGATTTCTCTCAAAGCAGGGGGGGTGAGGTTCTGAGCCTCACCTCTGTTGATCCCCAAATTCTCACCTGATGGCCCCCCTGCGACTGTGCCTGTCTTAGGTTGTTCCTCCCTTGAGGAATCTTACCCGTCTCTGGCTAACCAGTCATCTTCCGGGGCCATACAGGGAAATGTAAAGTTGGTAAGTGAGAGAGAAGCCATATTGTTTGCAAAGGTTAGCTTTTTACTTCTTTGCAGATTTATGCCCTGTGGCTTCTATGCCCAGCACTTGTCTCGAGGTATCTTTACCACCTGGAGGAATTATGATACTCGGTAAATTCGATATGAGGCACGAATTCTATTTAAGGGTTGTAATTAGGAAGGAAGAAGAAAAGCTATAGATGTAGCATACGAAGGAAACTTGGGAGGATTGATTATTTCTTTGACATATCTTCTTGTAGAGTACCTTAAGTATGTATAGGTTTTAAACTACTAATTTGCACACACATATTAACATAATAGGAATATGGTGACATAAACAAAGCAAATCTATAATTACCATCCATCTCCAGTGAAGCCAAGAAAACCATTTAGGCACCCTATAGGCATTTGCGAAAATTTATCTATGATATGATGGATATTGTCCAACTGTACTTGAACAATCAGACAAATTAAAGCAGCCCATTTCTGGGATCTGTTCACATCCCATATGTTCTTTTAACCGAAGAAATACCCATTTTTAAATACATATGTTGCCTTTTCATCTTAATTCATAAGCTTGGCAGAAATCATAAAACTAGTTCAATTCACTGACATCTGGTTAATGATCAATATTTTCCATGTGGGATAATTTGACAGTATTAACTTATAAAATTAATATTTTTCTTACATTTCTGTGAAATGTGAAAATAGCATTATATCATTTTATTAAATTATTTCTGAAAAGTGGAACAAGATAGAAAAACTATATCAACATCAAGGGTATAAAGCAAAAATGAACATTAATAAACTGCTCTCACAACAGAAAACCCTGATTAGCAGCTAGTCCGGGTAGAGAAGCAGGCCCCACCCCGGAGGCCTTGCTAACTGCTAAGCCTGAGGCTACATGACAGCTGCGACTGAGAGGCAGTAACAGCTTCTCTCTGAGTAATATGATGATGGGAGATTTTATTTTCTCCGGTTTACTCATTTGGTTTTTGTAGCTTTTCTACATTGAACATGTGATGCTAGTTTTATGGTAAAAAACCCCACAGAAGTTATTTTTTAAATAGGAATCTATTTTAAAATGCAGCAATGGATGTCTGATGCCCTTTGCACAGATTAACTGGCAATGTTTAATCGGAACCACCCCAGCTAACACAGTGAGCTTGTCCTCAATTACTGGTATTACTCCGTGGCTTCCCATAACGCAACAAAATTCCCTGCCCATGAACCGCACAGAGCAGTCCCTTGGTGTGTGCTGAACAAGGACGGCTGGATGACACCATTCACAGACAAACTTACAGACTTCACGACTGCATGGCTAATCTGGCGTCTAACCGTACGTCAGAGCACAACTAAACATTAATTTTGGTTTTTTTATTTTGATGGAGGAACAGTATAGTGGGGAGCCAGTCTGGCTAGGATGGCCTGGGATGCACCATTTACCCCGGAGTTTCCTAGTCTTCCCACCCACCGTCTCACATTTTCAAACTTACGACATAATCACAGAAGAGAATGAGGGCGCCTCTTCGCACTATCTCTCGAGTGCACATCCCAAGTTTGGGTGCCAGATCGGAGTCCTCCTCCTCTCCAGACATCTGGGGGCTGAGTGACTTCGTGCTGGACAGACTGCGTCTTCTGGAAGGAGCAACAGATGCATGGACAACATTTCTGGGATGGCACTGAGCTTATTTTCAAAATACTGGAGATGATCATGTTTAGTGCTGGCTCTAAAGCAGACAGGTAGATATCGCCACTTGGGAGCGATGGCTGTGCAATATACACTCCTAGCTGCCTATTCTGAGCCTTGACAAAGGGCATGTGGAAAACTGAAGAAAACAGAGGACTTCAGGCAGAAGACTAAACCGCCTGGCTGAAAGGCGGGGCCCACCACAAAGCCATGTCCCACCAGCACTCTGACTGCAGAACTCCGGCTGGCTGTGTTGATAACATAGCAATTGCTTTTGAAACACCCAGTTCTGGTCTAAAATGGAGGTTGTCAACTGCCAGAAGACACTTGCCTATTTTCCTATTCAGTCACCAATAAGCATGCCCACAGCGCACGTGCAATCATTACGTAGACCCTGCTTGGAAGCACCGCTGCACATTCACCCCCCTCCAAGTGAAGCTCCTCGCCTCCAGTGCTTGTCTCTGCCTTCATCCTTCTCCACAGCAGGGAATGGGAAGGTCTCAGACTCCCAGTTTGTGCCACACACTTAGAACACAGGTGTTGCCTCACTCACAAGATGCCCCTGGCTTTGGGGTCTGACCGAGAATACCCTCCCCTGAAGGCAGAGAGCCTGTGCCTCTCTGCTAAGGCTTAGGGGAGAGAGGTCCCTCCCGGACGAGAAGATTCCGAAATTTGTCAATGTTCCCTGTAGCATCTTGGGATTTAGATAAAAAGTTCTACAGATTTAAACATTTTTTAAACCACTGTTTCTGTTTTCCAACTAGTGAATGGATAACAAGCTGTGGTACAACCATAGTATGGAATGCTACTCAGCAGTCACGCACAACACCAGGAATGAACTTCAGATAAGCTGTGGTAGTGACAGAAGCCAGACTCAAAAGGCTACAAACTACATGATCTCATGTTCGTGGCACTGACAGGGGTTACATATGGGACAGAGCGTGGACCAGTGGTTTGGGGCGGGAGTGCAGAGGGTGACTGCAAAGGGACCTGCGAGTGTTTTCCAAAGTGGTGGCACTGTTGCGTATCTCAATTGTGCCTGTGGCCACCTGATATGCCTGATACAAAGGAGGCACTTTACTGTACTGCAAATACATGTCAATCAAACACTAAGAAAACCTCCCCTTTCTCAGTCATCCCTCCTGCCAGACACAGGGGAACTTACACCCAGCTGGAACTTTGCATTTCACAGTAGTATGGCAAAATAGTAAAGGAAAGAGCCTCTGAGAGAGGAGCAGTTTGCAGTTCAAATATTAGCAGGAGCCATAAACAAGGTCCAAAGTCAACCCAAATTTAGGTCCAAACTGTAGCACGGCAAGCTCCCAAGACCTCAGGACAGATGCTGCCAGATTCTGATGGCGAATAACCATCCCAATCCAAGATGACTGCATAGGCATTCCTCAGAATGGATGGACGGCAAGGGCCAGCACACCACACCCCTAGTGCCATGGCATGTGCAGAGCCCTGACTGTCCACCAAAAGGTGGGAAAGATCAAGAGCAAATCCTAAGCCTAGGAACTTGGTCCTGAAAATAAGGAGACAAGGGCAAACCTGATGGTGGCAGCCATGCATGCTTCGGGGGGGGGGGGGCCCACAGTGGGGCCCAGAGCCCCCCCATCCGCCAGCCAGCCTCAGCTGGGTAGGGACCTTCTGTAACAATTTGACAGAGAAGTTCTCCACTTGCTGAGTCTACAAATAAGAGATAATGGCCTGCATTTTGTATTCTATCCTTCCAGTAATTCATTTTTATTGTCTTATGGGAATAGAGACACTCACCATCCACAAAATGCAGCTGGAGAAATAGCATGCTAGATAGAGCAGGGGTCCACTCAGGGACAACTCTGCTCCCAATGGACACTGTGCACATGTATGGGGGTGTTCTTCCTTCTAACATAGGGGATATTAAGCACTTAAGTACTGAAATGGTTGTTACATATTATTTTCCTGTAATTTTATCTATGTATTACCATGAAGACATTATATTTTGATGAAATCCAAGGATACCTAGCTCATAGAATCTATTAATTTTATTTCAGGAAAATATAGAGGGACAGTATAAAATGTTATAAAAAGAGAAACTGAGTCAAACAATTAAGAAAAGTTATCATAGAATAAATCACTGTAAAACTGTAGTTTGCTCTCAAGTAGCTGAATGGAGACACCTACATAATCCAAGACTATATTCACTTTTAATTCCTGTTAAACACTGACCATCTGGTTAAGCATTTCTGTTAAGCATTCATTCAGCAAACACAATTCCCAGATCCAGAGGTTTCTGATGTAACATCAGAGTAAATAAAGGCACACATGCAGAAAAACAGCAGGTTGTCTAAATAAGGATGTCCCAAAGTGGAAGGAGAATACTTGGTAGGTTAACCTTCTACCAGCACAAAAAGAGCTAAAACACATACATAAAGAGACCAGCACAGAGGCAGCACAGTGGACCAGAGCAGGGCTTGGGGACCCCAGCTGCCAGGAGCCACCCTGGCTGTGGGAGAGACTCCATTACAATGCAGGGCCAAAGGGACACCAGCTGCAGCCTCTAGCCCCAGCTGGCTGTCAAGGCTATCAGATTTTTCAAGCATTTATGTCCAATGACTAAACTCAGCTTTTTTCGTCCCTCGTTTCACAACTTAAGTGAAACATTTGCAATTAATAACCCCTCTGTACTTTCGGTGTCTTATATGCTTATCAAGTGATGAAGTCCATCTTTTACTCCTATTAGCCATCAAATAGTTACCTGAGGTTAAAACATTCCAGGAGCAATTAAGGAAAAGAGACTCCTCTGGACCCCAACAGAAACACACAAACGGAAGGCCAGCCTTGCTAGGAGGGCCTGGTCCGTGAGGAGGCCATACAGGGAAACGAGCAGTGTGACCTGAGAAGGAGAAGCTAGTCTTCATCCACAGACAACTCGTGCATGTGCACAGAAAACCCTAAGGAACCCACAGAAAGGCTACTCGGTGAGTTTATTTGGCAAGGTCTTCAGTTATGAGGTCAAGATGTAGAAGCCAACTGCATTTCTATATACTAAGGACAAATTACCGGAAATGAAACCTTTTTAAAGTACTGTTGATGCTGGGGTTCTTGCTTTTGGAGTGGAAGAATGAACTTAGCAAACACTCGAAGTAAGAGAGCCAGGGAGAGGCTTTTATTTAGAGATAAAGTGAGAGGACAGAGCTCCTGACTCACACCAGGAGGGGACAAGAAAGCCCGTTGTGCATTGTTTAGGGGTTTTATAGGCAGTTGGGAATGTGATAAAGGGCTTATGGGTGTGGACTTGGACTTGTTAAGTGGTCCTTGAATATTTAAAATTAACTTAACAAAAGAAACTTACTGCTCTGATTGTTCCGAGATACCAGCATTTTGGTATGGGAGCATATCACACAAAAGACCGCCTGCCCAGCCTCCAAGGTGGGCTGAGCTATTGTCTGTTTGCTAAAAAGTAGGTTAAGAATCTTACTTCTTAACTTCCTGGGTTTTTTAAATGCAATTTTATTTTTAAGATGGAATCCTTCCTGCCTTTTACTATGTTGTTTATGGCAGGACCTGCCATTATTAATTGCCCAGATTGCTAATCACCTCATCAAGTCAGAAGGAGGAAAGACAGCACATAGGCCTGGGTCTTTTAGCCTGTTAAAGTGAATCTTACCCATGATTATAAATGACTAGCATAATAAGAACATGTGCTACTCCTCTTTATCTGGGGAATATTTTTTTTCTCTCTCTCTATTAGTTGCATGATATCTGGGGAATATTAACTGATCTCACTGAAGAATGACTCTAGAGCTTAATGTTTAACACAGAGTTTTGGTATGGGGTTTCCTTGCATGCAGTTACATTGCTTTGACTGTAAATATCCTGCGTTGCTTTTTCCGGAGGCCCTCATCCTACTGTGACTACACCCACAGTCCCTGTCTCACTATTTAAACCAGCATTCTAAAACAGGAAAGTACTTAGGGACAAATTTATTAAATATGTGTAATGCTGATACACTAAATACTGTAAGAAATTGGCAAATTAAAGAAGCCCTAAATACATGGAAATAGGCGCCATGTTCAAACACCAGAAGACTCAGTATTGAGAAGATGGCAATTCTATCCAAACTAACTCACTGATTTACAGCAATCCCAGTAGGCTTTTTTGCACACACTTACAGGCTCAATCTAAAATACAGGTATGGAAATACAAAAGAACCTAAAAAAGCCAAAAACTATTTTGAAAATAAAGAACACAGCTGGGAAACTTACATGCCTGAGATTTACTGCCCATTTTAAGTGAATAAGCAGTAATAGTACTGACATGATCTGTGACATACTACACAGATAGATGGAAGTGAACGGTGAGTCCAGAAGTAGGTCCACATGTATATATTCAACTGGTTCCTGGGAAAAGGGCCAAGGTAACTCAAGAGAGAAAGGATAACTTCTTTAACAAATAATGCTCAAAGAACCATCCACAGTGGGGAAAATGACCCTTTAACCTTGTTTTGTCATATGTAAATTTTAACTCACAATGGTAAAAACTAAAAGTAAAAACTAAAGTTTCAGAAGAACAATGAAAGAAAATTTTCATGATCTTACAGTAGACAAACATTTCTTGAATTGGACAGAAAAAGAATGAATTAGAATATACAAAATTGACAAACTGGATTTCATAAAAATTTAAAACTTCTGCTCTTTGAAAGAAGCCATTAAAGAAAAAGGCAAACCACAGAATGAGAGGAAACATGTATGTTGTATTTGACAAAGGACTTATATCCAGGATATATAAAGAATTTACAACTCAATAATAACAAATAACCAAAATTTTTTAAATGGCAAAATTATCCAAATACATACTTTATAACACAAGATACATGAATGTCCAATAAGTACATGAACACATGATGAATATTAGTATCACAGAAAATAGAAATTACAACTGCAACTAAGCATCATATACATAA